CCTATCGATGAGGAACTTTTAGAAGCAACACCATCCTCTATCGTCGTTGCAAGTCTACTCTTAATCCATGTCCTTTATCATCGTTATTACCACTCCACTGTGAATTCTTATGTATTACATATACCCATAGAAAGCTCACTTTCTCTGGGAGTTTTCATTTTGTGTACTGTAGGCACCATAAAATTAAAATATATCAAATTTTCCATCAAAACTATTCATCTTTTTATTTTAATTCGGCCTAGTATTAATTCACTTTTAAATGGTACACACGAGTTCATTTTTGAATTTTTCAATTCACTAATTTTACTCAAAGGTTTTCAGAATGTTTCTTTGGTTTTCTGATACATCTAGGAATTTGAAATTTGTTTCTTGGAAACTTCTCATGTACTAGAATTTGAATTAAAAACTTTAAATGTTGGAAAATGGAAATTGAATTATAGAGGGGTATATTAGGAATTACAGCAATAAAAAATTTAGTAATAATTGACTTTTTGTTTATAATAGTGACCATGAATAGAAGTATTTTTTTTTTACTGATATAAAATGTTATTGAACGGAGTAACACCAATGTGATTTATCCTTCGATAAAAGAAACTAGATACAATGTGGGTTTGGATCTTGCAATTGGGTATTTTTGTTGACAATTTCTTTTCCCACTTTTATGGTGTGGGACGGATCTCTAAAAACTTCAAAAATATCTTAAGATTTTACGGAGATGATATTCGAACACACTAAAGTTTATTTTTGACAAAATTTAGTTTGGAGATACATTTGAGAATATTTTTGGAGTAAATTAGCAAAAGCGTCTATGAAATCTTCTCTGCATGTTTTTTAGGTAGAAATATTGTCTTTAAGTTTGTATTTTTTTTTAATCCAAAATCATTTTAATTTTACTAACATTGACATTACTTGATTCAAAAATAAATAAACACGAATACCGTAGAACACGGTAATGCGTTTATTAAAAAAATCATCCAATTATATTACAAACATTATTCTCAAAGTATGGAAAAAATACAAAAACATTTCAAAATACAAATAAAAGCATACTCTACCGCGTATGCTTAGTCCTAATCCCCTAGCTCCTCCTTTTTCACTGATAACCCAAGACATTTTGTGACTTGGTAAGAATGGAACGTGTTAGGGCAACTACATCATTGCCACCTCTCTCAAACAACTCAGACTCTATGACCTCCAACGCAATCCACATAATATTATGACATATTGACAACACATCAATAGCATGGTCATCTCTAGCCTGCTCGTTCTCCACGATCTTCTCAAGGAGCGTCAAGTGTCATGATAGGGTGTAAGACACTATAGAACCAAGTCTTGTAACCGTCCACATAAGACTATTGACTTGTGGCTGACATACTCTGATACTCCTCTAGTACCAGATGACTCTTGTAGTCCGGCAATATGTCACCAAGATGTCTGCGGACTATGCTGTTAGGAGCAGACACAAAGGGGGATCTCAAAATAATCTATACATATCCAAACTGACACACCTGAACATTAGATTCGTCCCACATGCCAACCATCCAGAGTAAAATGAAATGGGATCGAAGGGAACATTGTTCCGATGAATGTTGTATGGTGTCCAATGGATGTCATCGTGCTAAGTCTGATCAATATACATACGGAACGAGCGTGCAACATCACTCCCTTTGTGCATGCAATGTAAACAAACATGTGGCCAATACTCAGTATACTCTAGCACACGATCAAACACGTGGATGTGGTAAAATTGGAATAAGATTCATCCCTGAAAATGAATAAGAAAAAAGTATTAGTAACAAGTGTAAAAAAGTATTAGTAACAAGTGTAAAAAAAGTGGTTTTTAATATTAATAGTGGCTATGAAAATTATTTCCAGCAGGGTGCATGAAAACTCTGGTCTTGCATGTCTTATACCCAGAGCAATACAAACATGTAAGACCAGAGTACTAGAGGACACTCTGGAACCAGTGATCCTTAGGCTGGTAAAGCTTCAGAATCTTTTTGTTATGGTTAACAGACTTCAAACAATCGCGCTTCTGTTAAAACATTAAAAAAATACCTCTCTAGCCAAGACATTCCCAACAATATGATCTCTATAGTATATCAGTAAAGAGGTGTCAAAGGGCCCTCCTGGTCTACGTGATCAGGGGAGACGTGCCCCTAAGATGAAGGCATATGTGACAAACAACTCCTAGAAATCGACGCTTCTCCCTCATCAGGCCTAGTGATGGTTCCCCACCTAATTCTGGCCTGCTCACTCTGAAGCCTAACCCTCTCACGTCGAACAGACGTGTGTTGGGTCTCATGACCAAGTCTCAGTCGTCGTCGTTGTTTGCAGCCACTTCTCCTGAAACAATACGAGAAAAAGTCATTAGTTTGCATCCATGACAGTTTCAGATATGCATCTCCGAAAGCCAGTATGGATGCAATTCAAAGATGCATCTCCGAAAAAGCTCGTGCTTGCAACAATGACTGAAAATGATACCAGTATTGCCCTAACAATCCAAAATACAATCAAACCCATATTGCATGTCTCTAACAATTATGTATTACAAATTTGACTACTACCTAATGCAATTATAACAAACTACTATTTTACTTAATACAATAATCAAAAATCAAAATAAGTTAAATGAGAAACTTACTCAAAAAAATGTTGATGATGAATGAGTGTTGAGGATGAAATACTTGAAGTAGAAGTAGTGTTTATCCTTGAAAAAGCTTGAAAATAGATCGGATGTATATTGCTCACAAACTCCATTGATATCTCAATAAAGTTTCAGAAAATGAAAAAGGAGAAGAGGGAGGGTCAAACGCGTGTCATATATACTTTAACACGTTCAGAGATGCATCTTTGATTTTTTTTAGAATTGAAATTAAAGGTCAATTTGAAAATACATCTGCGAACAAACCCTAAAACAAATACGAAGATGTATCTCCCTTACAATAATTTAAGGTGTGCAGCACAAGCTTGCACTTCATCTTTTACTCATAGTTTTATCCATGTTTCAACATTTGTACCTATCAAGTTTCATGCTTGATGTTATACTTCTTTTATAACAAATAACATATCAAATCTATTATATTTCTCTTTTCTTTCTTTGTTTTCACACTTTCTTTTAAATATTTCTTTCTTCTTATTTTTAATTCACCACAAAACCAACCCTATAAAAAAAGGAATTATGAATGGATTCTCTATTTAAATTTTAACATCATCTTGAATTATACATAGGAAAGTTGCATTATGATATTGTTTATGAGGATGGCATACACATATATTTCGAATCACATTGTATCAAGATTTTGTGTGAAACTTGAAAGAAAATATGGTTGAACAGCTTCGTATGAGAAGGACATACCAAAATAAAATCAAAATTATACATCACGCAATCCTTAACCGTCATTCACATGATGGTTGTTTTAGATTTCCAAAAATAGCATTTATTCCTTTATTAAAATTGCACTTCTAGAAATAGATAATTTTCACTACAAGATTTTTTTACTGTTGTACCCCTTTTTGTAATTTTAAATCCCATAATGCCTTATATTGAAATTTTTTTTTCCAAACTACCATCTTTTTATGTGAGTTCGTCCTTGGAATGGGCGAACATGTCTTCTAAAAAATTTCCCTGCATGAGTTCGTCCATGCATTGAGCAAACCAGTGTTGTGATGTTTACGTTGCATGAGTTCGTCCACGCATTGGACGAACTAGGGTTAATTTTGTTTTATTTTTTATTTTTTTTATTCTGATTTTGTATATTTAATTAAAATTATCTAATTAATACTTTTTAATATAAAAACTATTTAATTAATATGCCTATTTAATTAATTCTATATAAATATTATTTAATTAATTTTATATAAAAATTATTTAATTAATAAGTTTAATATAAAAACTTTTTAATATAAAAATTAATTAATTAATAAAAACTTTTTAATATAAAAAATAATTAATTAATAAAAACTATTGAATTTGATTTTGAATGTTAATTTTAATGTTAATGTTAATATTTAAAGATTTTGATAAATATAATTTTAATATATTAATTAATAAGTTGTATATTCGATAATTAAAAATCAAGTCAAGTTTTAATTGCAATAATTAATAAATTACAAGATTAAATTACAACAATAAAATTGATTAAATAAATATAAATATCATCGAAGATGACCTCCAGTTCCATACCTAGGGGGCCTTCGCTGTCGGTATCCTCTGCCCAAACGCTCGTTTGCAGTTGATTGAGATGAGTCGGAAGACAAATCTTCATTGTGATGTGTTGTCGGGGGGTTTGTCTGCCTTGACGAGGGTCCTAGTTGATCATCGAGAATATCATCGATGTTAAAATCCGGCATTTGCATCAGTTGCTCCTCTGTCAGCAAAAAATGTTGGAATGAATGTGATGGTTGTGGTGGTTGTGGGTAGGTTTCGGCTTGGGTTTGTTGAATGGCTGGGATGTAGACGTCATCAGGCGTGAAGGTTGAGGCGGGTTGAGAGAAGGTAGTGTTGAATGTAGGATGTGGGAAATAAGGGTTGGTTTGGTCAAAGTTTGGGGGTGGGCATGAGGTGAATTGTCTGGGTGGTTGGAGGTAGGGTTGAGGCTGATATTGTTGGTTGTACTGGGGGTAGTTATAGTTATGTTGAGCTGACGAGGATGCGTACCCCCAAATTGAGAGGTGTAGGTTGGTGGCCCATCCTGATGCATTGATGCGGCAGTTAGTTGTGTCGATGATGATACTTGCATTCGTGGGTCGGTCAAAAATTGATCCGGAGCAACATGCACATAAGGAATTGCGCGGAACCAAGTTAAATACTCTTGACTTGGCTTGCGTTCACCTAATACAACGCTCCCCTGCAAAATCATATATCTTCTGTGTCTCCATTCTCGCACCTCCTCCTTGTTTAACTGTCGCCAATGAACCTTTTGCGCTTTTCGCATGGTCATTGCGTGATGTTCCTTTAGACACTTAGGCAGAAGAGGGATTTGTTGGTCTAAGCCAAACTAGAGTCTTACCCTATCTGTTTGATGCATCTCAACGATGTAGAAACAAATAAGGTAAGTTGTTGCACTCCAGATTTGACTATCTTCTAGACGCGACACCGGGTACTGAACGTACGGCCTCCATATAAACTGTCACATAACAGAGAAAATTAAGATACCATTAAATTGAAGAATTGACCACTATTTTCACATGTTATAAAACTTACATCTCGTTCTTGCATATGGTCCAACGCGTTTCGATATCCTTGGAGATGGAAACGAGGAGTTGCACGATAATTCATTCCCCTTTGTGCCCATCTTGTATGACAAAAAAAAATATTAATATTGTTAGACATAGTTGAATAACAAATATATGAGTGTTATATTACATAAATACCTTTGTGCATATGGAAACGAGGGTTCCACCATGCTGACAGGAGCGAACAATGGGATGCGTGTGAATGCCCAAGAAGTTAGTAGGAGAGCACAACCATTCATGCTCCTAACATCTTTTTCTACTGCCTTGCACATTTCTCTATACAATTTTGCAAGGCATACAGAACCCCAACTATATGTGCCACATTCAATGAGATCCCCCACGAAAGGGATCCAAGAAGAATGCAAAAGGTTTTGAGTTTTGTCAGGAAACAAGATAGTTGCGATCACAAGTAGAATAAAAAATTTAGCTTCTAATAAAACATCTTCTTGTGTGGGGTTAGGTTTGTTTTTTAGGTTTTCATATTCACTCTCAAGCCAAGTGATCCTAACAAAACCTTTCATTTTATCTTCTTCTTTTGGTTCCTTCCCCAAGTAATCCATGTAAATAACACTTGTTACCTCGGTGGGACCGTTGATAACTTTGCCATCAACTCGTAGACATAGTAACATACATGTATCTTCAAGGGTTATGGTGCATTCACCTGTTGGCAAGTGAAAGGTGTGGGTTTCGGGTCTCCATTTCTCCAACAGAGCAACAACTAAGCTTGAGTCGACTTTCAAACTATTTATTTTTGAAATGTTTGCGAATCCTGCGATCTCAAGATAAGCCATTTGTTGTACCCCAAAATTTGACCGACCTCTTTGGTTTATGTTTCATTTCATTGCATTAGCATATCACATTGCATCCGTCATACCCCAAATTTGTCCTACCTCTGTATATCACTTTCATCACGTATACCCCTTCATCCATCAACAATTATCCAAAAATCCAAAATAAGTTATCTTCCATCTAAGTTGTTGCGAGTTTGAGTTCAAGACGTCACAAGGACGGATGAAAGGAAAGTGAGGTTTATCAGGAAAAGTTTGTTCATTTGTCCATATCATAATGTGTGAACATATGGCGATTGGGTTTGTGATATTTTGTTTTGTGCGCCATTTTGGGTCAATTTTGTGTGGATTAAGATGTGTAGGAGTGGTGATTAATCCAAAGTATTGGTTCAAGAAGAATCCAAAGAGAGACTTTAATCAAAAGGGTTGCTAATTCAAGACAAAAATCAAAGAATTGTTTAAGCAAACTTCAAGATGCAAATAGTAAATATCAAGACATAAAGGAAACTATAGTTCAAATTAGGATTCCATTATTATATTTGCAAATCCACGAAGCCATGAACTAGCATCAAGCCCAAATTACAACGTGCCAAGTCCGTCATGAAATTTGCAAAGGAAGAGAATTCTAGAAGATCATTGCTTTTATAAGCCTGTTTCATAAATAAAATCATCCAATGAGGAAAAAGGCTTGTTACACATTTTGTAGCAAAATATACCATTTGATGGTTATTACAAGAGGTTATCAAAGTTGTTGATATTTTATTTACAAGGCCCCACATGAGAATTCCACAAGCCATAGAAGCACAAGCCTTTTTTTTTTGTCAAACCGACGGCGAACTTATTACAAGTGCCCAAATCCAGTTTTTCCTTCCATAAGGACTTGTGACCCAAAGTAGCCGAATCTGCAACTGAAAAAATGAAGAAATAAGATGTAACAATACTGTAAGGGGTGCTTCGGTGATTGTGATACACATGATGTCATCTATTAAAAAACTTGCAAGGAAATTTTCAGAATGGAATTGCAGCAAAGACAAAAAAGGTACGAAATGGAGTGGCTATTCAACAATGTATCGTGTGCGTACGACCTACGTAGCTAACATCAAACAAAGCCCACATAAGTTTCACAAATTCCATTTTTTATATGTGGCCCATTCTTCATAAAAGATCATCAGCCCATGATATTACAAATATTTCACAAAATTTACAAAAAAAGATATTACAAAAGTTCATCTCACCTAACAACAAAAACCAACACCTCCCTCATTTCAAAAGAAAAATCACGCCCTGTTACAAAAGGACAATCCAAAACGACACGATGTCCCGTAGCATACAATCACAGCTCTACACAACCAGTCACAATTATCTGCTCAACACACAACAGACAATAATAATGAAGTGAATTTACAGCTGCAAAAACGCAGCAAATCTCACACAGCAAATCCTGATAATTACTTGATTGATGACGGCACATCCCCATGCAATGGATAGTAGCAGCTCTTCAAACTGGAATTCCGGAGTAACTCTTCAAGAAGTTCCTCCATCTTCAGCGCAGTCTTCTCACATTCCAGCTGCAACAGGAGCTCAAGGATACGTTCCTTCGGCAGATGTAACTCAAGCTGCAACATCTGAAAATGTTATGATTGGATGGAGTACATGCAGCACCAGCTATCCCGAATTCTCAAGCAGATGTTATCATGCCCGATATACCTTCAATACCAGAGACTATGCCAAGAAGTATTCTCGATGTTTCCGAGGACAATTGTATGGCTCTTGAGACAGAGAATGGATTTATGGATCCAACTTCGCTTAGGTTATTTCCCATTGATTTTGGAGCTCTTTCACCTGGTACAGACATTGATGATTTGTTAAATAATCCTTCTATTTGGGAGGATCTTTTGCAAACTCCCCTTCCAACAGCCGTGATCTTACGTGGCGCATCAACATGCCTTCGTACATGATTCACGACTTGTACCAATAATACTCCTTTTTCGTACCGAAAGTCACCTCCAAATCTTGACTGTAACAATTTCCTACAAAACACGAAAAGTAGTGAGGTTATTCTGGTAGCAAGTCGTCCTATCACAACACGGACCGCAACACAGATAATCACAAGGCAACACACAGCGGATGAAAAGTTGAAAAAGAATCATGAAGAAACAGGGAACAAATTTGACGTGTTGCAAAAGGAACACAGACAACCTGATGATACGATGTACACATCCGGTATTCACGCAAGATGATACGCAACACACAAGGCACCAACAATGTACCAATGACGGTTTCTATACAGCCGACACATTCAGTACCCGACACGCACAAGAATTCATCCCAAGTTGTTGATTAAGCAGGACAAATAGCCATTTCTCTGGATGTTGCTCGGGCTTTAAGCCAATACGTGGAAACCGCCATTTTTGGGCAACTGTTACAAGCCATTTAGTCTTCTGCAGGTGTTGCTACTGCTGTTGAAACCATTGAGGCCATTTTTGAAGTATGATATTGGTTCTAACTACAGTTGTAGCAGTGAAAATGATGTCGTTCCGGATCTGCATCCGTGGATATCAATGTTGCGGGATGAAACGGTGCTGCCAGAGTTCTACACAGCCACATCTAAGTTGTTTCACGCACCAAATCACCTGGAATGACAAAACAAAGAATCACGTTACAGATCGTACCAAAATCAATAACATAACCAGCAGCATATCAAAAGCAGCCGCGCACTAATCCAGACCTTGCAAAATGTATCAGTTCATGTGGAATAAGCTTGGAAGCCCGCTTCAGGTATCAAGGCCAAGCCCGTATTTGAAATTCAGGCAGTGCATACATGAATCACTTGCATTCAATGAGACCTGATAGTAATGTAAACACCAGTACTAATGAGTGAATCCTTTGGAGTTGAGTTCATGCCACCTAAATCATACTGATAATGTTGGGATTGCATTGAGTTTTGATCAAAGGAATCAGAGGATGAATATCCCATTCCCATACCTGTTGGTCGATAAATTACGTGATAGTTGTTCCTTGGCTAGTGGAGGTGTCACTGGGATGTTTGCTATTGATTCACACTTTGAACTCTCGTCTTCAGATCTTGCTGAGAGTTGGCGACGTGAACCTTAATGATCCAACCAAGAACTCTCGGTACAGGGCAAAACTAATGACAACAACTCTGTCACAAGCAAATCAAATGTTTGAAAGACAAGAATAACAAGGGTGAGATCATAAAAGGAAACCAAAGCAAAGCCATCCCATAAACTAACCTAAGTGATTCACAAGCCCACTATAATGTCTTTGCCTTCATCCTTCAAGGTAGTCTGTGATACTGAAATTGCCTTTCCATGACGAATAGCTCTATCGAACCAGTCATTGTCCTGTCCCATGTACACATAAAACAAAATGCAGTGAGGAAATATTCAGTTAGAAAGGAAGTGGTTAAAACCCCTGCATCTTTTTTTTAAAAATCAATTACCACGGTAAAAGCAAAGAAGGGGAGTTACCGCAGTGAAAACTAATTGAAGATATTACCTCACTACAGACAAAAGGACTGAAAAATCGTACCACAAGGGCAAGAGCCTCACCTCAATTCTTCAGACACTCTCTCCATATAAACCATATGAGAGATGACAGCAAAAAACCCTAATCTGAGATTGAGCCTCCAACCAAAGCCCTAGCCGCAACCCTTTCCGTTTCCACCAAACAACCTTCAGTGGAAGCTCTTCCCCTGTTCACCTTCAAACGTCCTTTCAAACCTTCATCTTCACTACCTAACAGACCTTCATTAACCAACCCACCTTCGAAATAACCCATCTCTAATCCACCTTAAATCAAAGCTTTTTCACCCAGAAAGCCTTAACTTCATCGCACCTCACCCGAACCTCACAACCCTGTGGAAATTGCCGTGAAACTTCAGCCATAACTCCAAATCAAACCTATATACCAATCCCCAACCCAACAGAAGCGCCACCGAATTAGAGTGGGAGATAAAGAAGATACAAAATGGAAATGAAAAGATTCACAACCAAGATCAAAACCAAACCTGAATGAACTGGATGATAGGTCGAACACGAGAGAAGGTTGGAAGCGATTCATCACCTTTTTGCTACTCGATGCATTTTGTTGAATTTTCTTGCTGGGAGATTTGTGGTGTACACCGTGGTTTTGTTTCTCCAAACTCATTTTGTTGAACGGGATTGTTAGGTCTGGGCCGCGTGGAGCCTCTTTTGTTTTTTTTAAGTTTTATTTTTGGAGGTGATGGGCCTATAGCCCGTGTGATCCTTTTATGTTTTACACTCTGTTTTAATTCATAAACCCCATGGTTTTGTTTTCATTTTGATGAGTAAATACATATGTATATTTTTTTTATTTTTTTTTCGTAGACATTATATAGTATATTTTTAGAAGCTTCATTGTTATTTCTTTTAGAATTTATATGTGTACAAACTATTTTCTAGGATTTATTTTATGTTCATATTTCTTTAAACATTTCTATCATATTGTTTCTAGGACTTTAGATCCATTTTATATTAAAGTATTGAGATTTTCTTTTAGAAGGTAACTTCATTTCACATTTGTCATTGGGCATGTCGTCTCATTTTCATCTGTTCGGGTCGATGACGAGACCTCCGTAATTCATTACCCGTCAAATTATTGATAGGTAATGTTGGATCTGAGACCACCCCTTTTCTCTCTTCATTATTTGTCCTGACTCGATTCAAAAACTTTGTCAAACAGTTTTCAAAATCAAATCATCTTCGTATTGAGTTAAAAGAGGGGATTAAGTGTAGACTTTCTTCCTCTCCGAGTGTTGGGATGCCCACTGTAGTGAGGGTGGTTCCGACACTCGTCTTTCAATACGAAGACGCTTCCCGTCCATCTTCAAATCCCATCTCCTTAAAATCGATTCTTTATGTTGAGCTAAAAAGAGGATTGGGTGTAGACCCCTTCTTCTTCGAGCGTAGGGATGCCCACTGTAGTGAGGGTGGTCTCGATGCTCGTCCGTCAATACAAAG